AAATCCTTGCCCCAAGGAAAGCAGTGGACTCCCAATGGCTTATCCCAGCGACCGTGGTGAGATCAGGAACTTGGACATGGTCTGTTAGCTGGTGTTGCTTGGGCCTCATGGTGGAGTAAGGGATCTGCTCTGAACCAAGCTCTTGGCTGGATGGGCAAAACCCGCTTTGCTCTTCTGTCTCAGATTGCTGGGAAGTAAAGTTTGAATGGAGAACAGTGCCACTTCTGAAGAATTGTTAAAATAATTATTCATTATTCTGAAGAATAAATGTTTAGGCTGACGTGCAAATTGAAGAAGCATTTTATAACAGTCCAAAGTGAATTCGAGAGGGAATTTTCAGAAGCACAGGATGTTCTTCTCACCATCAGTGACTGATTGTGCAATGGAAGCAAAGTCAGGCTGATTCAAGGTGTCTGCGGAAATTTGACTCTCGGTGCTCAGGATTTTTAGTGTTTCTGGCCAGAAGGCTGGAGCCCTTGCTGAGATGTGATTACTTCTGTGATGTTTCCTTGTTACAATAGAGTCACAGAGCCTTGTTCAAAGGCCAGGACCCCCTATGCTCTGCCACGTCTCTAAAGAAGGTCGCAGAGATTTCCAATCCAACTGGGCAATGCTTGGCTGAAGTCAAGAGCGATCCACAATCCCCTGCAATAAGTATTTTTTGACTATTTCATTTTAATGTCATTAATCACTTCGGTTTTAAGCTAGATGGCCATGACCTTTGGTACAACATGCTGATTCCTATTTAGAAGAGAAGCTGCTAACAAATGTTTCACTACCATTGCATTACTGTGTGCTTCCTACCTTAGAGATGCAAGCTTGCTGTGCAAGCAAGAAACATCTTTCACTGATGAGGTGAGGAAATGTTACAGATCTTGATGTTGCTAACTAGAGGTTCATTATCAGGTTTGGGACTATTCCTGAGGCAGGAATAGTCATTGGACTATTGGAGGTATGTGATTTTTCAAACCTCTCAGGTTTTCTGTTTTTCAACATTATATTTTTAGCCCTTATGGTTATAGAAAAATTTCTAGCTCAGTAAGACAACTACACCTTAAGAAAACTACAGCCTAGAGAAACTTAGAAAACTGTTAGAATTATGTTACATTTATTGTCTATTACTCTTCCTTTCTTCACTTCATCTTTGTGCCTGCCTCCTGACTTTTCATGCAGAGATTGGGCAGCATAGAAAACTACGATGGGAAGAAATCCAAGATTGTTTGTGCAGATAAATTTAAGCTGTGCTATCGAAGGTGTGGCACCAGCGTCAGACCTAAATTTAATCAGAATCTGTTTTCCGTTCACTCTGATGGTTGAGTTTGAGCTCTGCACAACAGAGAAAGCTTAATTTACCTATATGGAGGTGTGGAAAACCAAGTGTCAGTAGTTGTTAGCAGCAGCGGGACAAGTGTCATGTTTATAGGTATGCACCTCTTCTGGGGCTCACTCCTCATTCCACGGTAACATTGAAAATGCCAGAGGAAGCAGAAGCAGCAGGAGCAGAGGTAATGGGCTCAGGATGGTGCCAGATTGCCACGGGTGAGTTTCCTTGCAAGCTGCCCATGGAGAGGGCCTGTCAGCATGCACGAACAGAGCCATATTTCATCTGTGCAAAAGAGCCCAGGATTGTCCTGGGAGGCTGCGTAAGAAATGAGGCTCCGTGGTTGGTGCTAAACCAATAACAAATACTGCTTTCCCCCCTACCAAGAGATCAGAGCACAGCAGGCTGCCTGCAGCAGAGGAAAGCTGGGACAAGCGTAGAACAGCAAGGATGTTTGTTAGTTCTTCATTGTATCTCTTACCAAGTGTAACTAATCTCACCACTGTCAGTAGGGATTGTGACCATGGAATGAACCCAACTCTGGGACCTACTGGACATTTTTCATGAGAACATTTTTAAACAAGGCACAGTATTTTTCAGGCAAACATTAGAAATTACCTGAATTACATGAATATTCTTGAATGTATTTTGGAGAAAACAAAAGCAAAGAAAACCCAGTTTTTTACGAAGTGGAACATTTATTATAGTAGCAAAATGTTTTGTTTCTACAGTTGTTGAGCGTTCTGCAATTTTGTATTTTCCTATATGAAATGTACGTGGGTGGTTTTTTGTTTGTTTGTTTCTGAATGTTTCAGTGTCCACATAAAAGGCATATGTGCTCACGTATCAATACAGTTCAGCTGACCGTTAGGAGCTTATTTTCAGTATTGACTTATCGCCAATATCAGATGTTTTCATCCACATTGCAAGAGCATGACGTGGAGAGGAAGAATATGGCTGGAAGGTGACAATGAAGAGAACCCAAGGAAAAGTCTTTCGCAAGACAACAGGAGGATTTTAATGAAGAACCATCAAGTTTAAAAATGGTGAAAAAACAGAATGTAGCAGCTTGCAGGGTTCGTTGCTAGGTAGGGGTATGTCCTGCATAAAGGGAAGAGCATGGATTATCTACTGGACATGACCCAAGCTCAGTAAGTTGCGCAGAAGAGGTGACAGAAAGGAGGATGCTGATGCACTGATGCTTTGTTTGGATCCATCTGTAAGTTTTACCCAGCCTAACAAAATCTTACTGTAAAAAGTATCGATGCTAAAACACTTTGCAAAGCCCTCACGTCACGGACTTTGACTGTCAGGTGGCACTGAAGAGATGACCCCTAACTCTGAGCTCCATGGCTGCAGAGTGGAGATGTGTGCTTTGATTACTGGGGTGAGCAGAGCAGAGAGGCCTGGAGGCCTGGTTTCCACTGGGTGGTGACAGGATGTGCGGGGAAGGCCACCAAAGGCGGCAGTGCTGTAGGCTTAGAAAACCTAAAGAGCACTGTGTTTGTTTGCTGCTGGGAGCCTGGAGATCATCCAGAAGATGGGCAGAGCCTGGCTGGCAGTGTGGCCAAAAAGGAAGAGGATGAAGATGGAGATGCTTTACTTCCAGCACCTCTCTGGCTAACAGGCAAACCTGTCCCAGAGGGCACATTTTGCCGAGCCAGCTGTGGCTATTCCCTCAGCTAAACAAGCACACAGTGTGCGGGGTTTGGAGGCTTTCAGGGGCCTTCAGGACCACGTCTTGGTTATGCTCCAATCCTGAGTAAACACTCCAAGAGCACCACTGAAGCCCCTGCCTGTTGGGCAGCGCAAACCAAAGCGATAAAAATTGAAATAAAACCCCAAAACAAAGACAGAGGAAAGAGGGAAAAGACGCTGTGAGGCCCAAAGGGCGAAGGATGTGGGTACTGCTGGGCTTAATTGTCTTCTTCCTTGCTCTGTGAGATGGAATGCTGCTGGGACTGTTGCTGACTTTTGGATTGTTATTGACTTTTTATTTTTAATATATTTTTTCCCCAAAGCAAACAGGCAAGTGATGTAAAGCAAATGGAATTGTGGTTCTCAAGATGGGAAACTCGGAGATGATCCCAGGCTGCAAAATCCTGATCTGGATGTTGAGCTTTCTGTTGCATAAGCATAAGCTAGTTTATGTCTGCATCCTGGATGGGGGGCAAGGTGCCAACTTCCGTGTCAGGTTCAGGCTTGAGTTCTGAAACAAACCTCCTTCACTGGAAGTTTAGCGTTGTTCATGGAGGCTCAGAGGGGGGAAGCGCTGATTCCAGCTCTTCTCTAACAGGGTTTGGACTTACTGTATGAATTCATCTGGGCCTCTAATGAGGAAAGCTGTCTTTTTTGTGATGACAGTTGAACATGTGCTCAGGCTCATTTCTCAATCAAAGGTTTGTATTGTAGAGCGAGTTACAATTACTTCTGTGCCACGGGAGGACTGTTGAGTTAAAGCAGGTAGATGTCTTCTCACAACCTGTGACCTTGTTTCTGTTATCAGCCTCAAGTCTATTGCCATTGGTTTGTTCTAAAGGGTTGTTAGGTGCTGGAAACATCTGGGAATGAAACATAAAGCAGAGGCTTTGAGCTCTGACAATCACTGCAAATCTGTGATTGCTCCCTGGATTGAAAGCTGCCATTCTCTCTGAATTCATGGGCTGATTGTACTGTCCATTGGATAGTGGGAGAAAAAAATGGTTTCAATTTGATCAATATTTTAAACAAACCAGTGGAGTTAATTAAAAGCAAACTCTGATTGCATACTCACATTGTGGGGCAGGTTAGCCACGAAACAGTTTGCTTTGAGCTCTTAAGCCAGGAAAAAGCCTGCCAAGTCAGTCATGCCTCCTTGTCCTCCTGGCCTTTGTGGGCAAGAAGTTGAAGGGCAATTCAGAGAGATGGAGCTGGCACTCACAAAGTTACCCCAGAGTCTGTGATTGACTCAGGATGGTAAAAGAGGAATAAAGAGAGTGCAGTTACTGCATAGGAAATAGAGTCTGTGAAGCTTGCAGGGATTTCAGACACCGGGATTTTTTGCAGCGTTTATTGGAACAGACAGGCTAAGAGCGCTAAGGGATAAAGGATCCCAAATCAAACAGCCTAATTGGTCTCAAATGGAGTGACTAAGGAACTCTCTCCCTTCCAAAATGGGTCAAATTGCATTTTAGAAAGGGATCTCTGAAATTTGAGTGGGAGGCCTGGATAAAAAAAACGAATGGATGAACTCATAATTGACATGGATTCCATTATGGCTAATACCAATGTCAGAGCTGCCACCGAATATGTCCTGCAAATCCAGTCTGGGGGAACTGCCTTTAGAGATGTGACCCAGGTGAAGCAAACTATTTGCCATGAGCCTGTGAGGAACTGAGACTTTAATTGCAAACATATGGCTGGGTAACTTTCCAGCAAGTGAAACCTGGGGGATGGATAGAGACCTGCTCTGAAACTGATGATCCAGAGGAGCTTTCACTACCTCTGATCCTCACAGTCCTGAAAAGGGAACAGATTGCTGTGCTCTCATATCATTTTACGCTGACCAGAAAACAGCCAAGAAAGGGAAGATGATGTCAAAATGTAATGTTGGCACAAAGAGCCCATTGATTTTGGGAAAAATGAGTGTGAAATGAAGTTCCCTATGATTGATGCCTAGTTTGTATTTCTTTTTTTAAAGGCAGTTGTCTGATCTTCAGCATCCTCCTGTCCTGGTGGATTATGTCATGAACAGCTCTGCCTGGGGTCATTTGTGAACAGATATCTTGGAAGATAGGATCATCACTGGTTGGGGACCATTGTTCTTGCTTAAACTGTCCATGCTAGTGTTTGTCAAGAAGGGTAAGTGCATTGCAGAAAGGAGAGCTTGTGTACCAGCTCCTAGCTCTGATTGCTAAGGCAAAGACCAAAGGCAAGGGTCTGAGTTTGAAGACAGCTCCCAGGTGAAATGGGTAAAGACTCCTGCAGAAGCTTCTCATTGCTTTTTCAAACCGTTTTTCACTGCAGTCTGTTTCCAGCTTTCAGTGGCACTGGCTGGTCTCTATGACAGGCAGCTAAACACCAAGGAAGGGGCCCTGACAAATCCAGCCCCTTGTTTTATCTTGTCTATCATTATCTCTTCAATCTCTTCTGAAGATCTGTGGAGAAGTTTTCCATGAATATCTTGAATACTAGGAGGTCAGTGTGCATTTGTACTTTCGTCGGGGATCTGAAAACACATCCCTGTGTGTAATGAGGAGTTAAAACTATTGTCCTGGGTGACTGGGAAATGTGGGCTGACAACATGAAGTGGTGAGCTTAGGGGAATTTTCTTTTCAGAAATATTTTTATTTGTTGGGGATCCTTGACAGGACAAGAACTTAACATTTCTAGGCAGGAATGTATCTGAGTCAGTTGAGTTTTGTTAGGGTGCACAGCAGCCTCTAGTCACTGATGTGTGCATGAGAAGCTACTGGCTGGTTCATGAGGAATTTGGACCTTCTCAGAACTGGAGTTTTGGTGACTCCTGAATGTCAGAGGCTCAAGATCTGGAATGAATTGACCAAGGTCTGTACTTAAGGTGGAGAATAAAGATTCCCTTTCTTGAGCAGGCATACAGGCAAGGTGAAAAGCACATCAAGTATCAGCTGGGTATTTTGTTTGTGGAGAACCAAAGATGAGCTGGAACAAATGTGAGAGCCTGTGAGTACCACTTTTGTGTCCTACACTGATCCACATGATCTAAATATTAAAGTGCAAAGAGGCAATGATTGTAAGGAACTTCTAGCGTAATTGGTGTTCTGTGATGACATTTAGCAGTTCACACAGAGCAAAGCACCAATTTTGGTCTGGATTATTTCTTAAAGAGCAGTGTCTGGGACATCTGCGGCAAGGCTCTTGTTATACTGAGTAGTTTTGAGAATGAAACCAAGAATATTTGGGTCTGCAAAAACTGAGGCATTTAACCGTAAATATTCCCTAAACCAGTGACCACATGTCTGAAAAGGGAGATTTATGTGAAATGGGAAGTTTCGTAACAGGACTCTTTCATAAAATAACGACAGTGACGTATGCACACACGTACACACACACTCATTCCAGATAAGATCAAACATATAACACTCCAAAGATGAAACACTTCCCTAATTATTTCTCTCCTTCTGATTTTGAAATGTAATTTCTCTAGGACTGACAGTTACAGGTGGAAATGCTGCAGAGAAGTCTTTAAATCTCTGCTGGAAGCGATCTCTCTCCCTTGCATGTAACGGAGCATGTACACCTGACCACTGCTACCCATAACATTGCTTGTGTATTCCAGTACTCCAGCCTCTCCAGTCCTTCTCTCTTTGCTCCATGTATCACTTTCCACAGCTCTGGAATGCATCTCTGCTAGATATTCCTTTGTTGGTGATTTTAGCAGATATGGTAGCAGTAGGGATAGGAGTGTAGCCATCAGAAGAATAGTTGGATCTGTTGGAAGGGGTGAGATACAGAAAGGAGGGTGAAGATGAGGTAAAAACATAGAAGGATGGAAGATGGAAGATGTGGGAATGAAAAGGTGGAGATGGAAGAGAAAAAAAGGATAGAAAAGGCAAGGATCCCAGAGGACAGTTTCTTCTTCTGAAGAACATTAAATACTGCATAAATTACAGTAAATTGAAATATTGTTAATCTATAAAGGCTGTATTGTTCTCTTTTTCTCTTGGCCAACTACTGCTGACGTAAGCAGGAACTCTTCTCTAGGCTGAAGAAGCCTAAAGCCTAGCAAGCAAGCCTGGCGCCCAGACTGGGGCTGGAAGTGGGATTTGGCCTCTGCTATACAGAAAGGCTTTGAGGATTCAGACTTAGAGGAACCCAGGGAATGTGAGGCCGCTGGGCAAGCATCAGATAGGAGCATTTAGTCAGCGTTTCTTCTACAAAAACTAATAAAAATACATCTTTCAGTCTTTTCCAGGAAGATGTCAGAGCTCTTCTGTGGAGTTAGCAGGCTTGACATGGACACCAGCTTAGTCATTAGAGAATAAGACAAAGGGGTTTAAGTCTTGCTAGAAATTCATATATCCTGCAAGGCTACTGGGGAGACACCGCTGACTCCATGATGTGTGTAAATGTATTTGTGCATACGTGTATGTGTATGTGTGTATCACTGGATATAAACAGATGCAGCTATCTGTTTTCTCCTAATTATTCCGTAATTCTGCCTTCGGCTTTGCAGACTCCAGGATCTTGGCCAGCTGGAGCCGGAGAGGCTGCCAAGTCCATCAGGTTGAGGGAGCCAGCAGGCTGTTCCACCTGACTGTCTGGAAGCATTCTTTTGCTCTCTTGAGAGTTTCCCAACGCGTCTCCATTTCCTTTGAAAGAAGGTTCACCCATGATTGCCAGCGTCTATGTCAGGTCTTCTTTGCATGGGTGCTGAGACTGCAAAACCCGGAGACCCATGGCCCCTCTCAGCACTGTTTTAGCAATCTTCCAGCTGCACAAGCACTGAAAAGCTCCAAAAAATATCTAATGAGGCAGATGAAAAGAGACAGGCTCGGGCTCTTGGCTAATGCTATAGTTGCTTTATAGGGATAGAGAGGATGATTGCAAGAACTCATCATATCTCATAACCTGATGAGGTCAGTAACAACCCTGATTTTTCTGCACTCCTAAAGCAGAGGAGCTTCTTTGTCGACAGCTGAGAAGACCCTGAAGAATCCAAGGTGCGTGCTGAGGTAACAAGGGGACAGCTGAAATTTATGTTTTTTAAGTTTTTATGCTTATCTCAAGAATGATGTGCTGGGAAAGTAAATCCTTTGCAAACGCTCATGAATCTCTGGTATTCAGGTGCCCTGCAGGAGAGATGCAGAAACACAGAAAAGATTTTTACCATTTGATCTCACCATGTGGCTCTCATCTGGTGCTCTGTTCTGCCTACTTCTTCCTTGGGATAGTGTTCAAAACAAATGGGGTTTTCAGAAGTGCTCCATATAGGGGAGACTAAGAAAATCTCCCTTCTGTGTTTCTCCCTTCTGCTCAGTCTAAACAGCTTTATCCAACTGCACCTCCCCCTTCCGGGTCCTCCTTCCAAGTACAGGTAAAGGTTTATTCTTCACAAAACTTGGAAACAGAGACAAACTTTCACATCACCTATTCTGACAGTCCCGTTATCCATCTGTAATCACAGTGAGCCATTGGGCTGCCTAATGAGTAGCATGATTCCTTCCTACGTTTCGGTCTGGTTTTACCCTTGTATGTCCTATCCTCTGTGTGTATGCAGCAGTGACGTGCAGGCCAAGAAGTGGAGACAGGGAGAGTGGAGTTAAAGGAAAGATGGGAAAAAAGCATCAGCAGCAAGCTGGGAAGTTCAGTGAATGCCTTTAGCAATACCATTAGGGCGGGCTTCTGAAATGAGGTGGTAAGACACAGCAAAAAAGCAGCCTTACTGGTTCTGGCTGACTTGCACAGTAGGTCTCTGTGTTTTTAATGTGCAACCTGTTCTCTCTGGTGAGGAACTGTCACTTTTAGTTCAGCTCACTGTAGCTTTTCACACATAGAAAAGATATGCAACTCAATACATTTTCTCTCTTCCGTGATGCAGAGGTTCCCAAACCATGGCAGAGATCCCTGCCAATCTTCTTTATGTCTTTTGGAGCACTTACACTGTTATTGTTCGACACTGAATAGAGAGTCTTTGAGAAGTTAGTTATCCAGATCAGCTACAGGCATTTCTAACCTCACCAAACATAATGTTGTCATGGGTTTTGGCCAGGAAGGTGCCATTTCCAAGGATCTTATTCTTTTCCCTTTGATTTTCGAAAATCAACAAGTTCTAGTGAAGAGCTCTGTGTAAAATATGGAGCTGAGGATTAACAAAGAAGCAAAGAGGAGGTCTTTTTTTTTTTTTTTGCTTACGTGGAAAGGAAGACAAAATCTAATGGCTGCTTGTGGAAACATGGAAGGTCTCCAATATAATGAATAATAAGAATAATTTCAACTATATTTTCAGAGATTTGAACAGTATTTATATGCAAATGCTATCTGAGGAGGTAGTGGAAAAAATCAGTTTTCTTAACGTTGGCTGGAAAACAGAATTTGCAGTTCTGGAAGACTTGAGATTTCCATAGGAACCAAACGAGATGAAGTAAAAAGACTTAACAGAGGTGATTAACAAGTATTTTGTACTGAAAACAAACCTTATTGCTGAATGACATAAATTACATTTAAGGGAGCAAATGGCCTTTCTGGCAGGTTTAAAAAAACATGCCAGTATCTGTCCCTTAGTAACTCTGTGTAAGAAGGCCTTAGAGAGCTGAGAGCTGGAGTGCAGAGCACAGCCTTGGGGAAACCACAGACACACCGTCGGGGTGGCACGCTGAGCTACTGTAAATTAAGCTTAAGCCCCCTGAATTTTGGGATCATGCTAACGGTGCTGTGCACACAAAAGATGCCTAACTTCGTAAATCGGGAGAGGACCTTCACTATTTTCCCTTGTTTTGAATTAGAGGTTGGAGGTCAGTGGTGTGGGCAGAACACTTCATCCACACTATCTGATTTTTGGGAATTTTAACGACAGAAAGAATTATGGATGATATCCTGCATTAAGGACTTGCCTCATTTTGCGCTTTGTTTGGGTTATTTTAGCAGTAATAATTTTGTTGTTTCTGTACTCACCTTCCCAAAGAACAGAGACATCACAAACAAGCCAGCTATTTCCTCTGCAGGGCTATTTCCGTTTTCTTTTATTAGTGAGCTAAGGAAAGCTTTGATCTACACTCCAGCTTGATATCTAATGAGATATTTTCATCAAACTCTGCTCCTTATTGAACTCATGTTAATCTCAGCAAGATTCATGTAGACAGATGTTCTTATGTTTGTGGGCAGTGGAATGGGATCTTGCAGTTAGATCTTGCTTGTATGAGCTCAGTGGACACCACTGCAGGGACAGAGATCTTTCTATAGAAAATTCATTGCAGGATGGGGGCATAAGAGCAAATGCATTTGGCTCGAAGCATGATTAATTAATGCATGGTTAAAGGTTGCTTATATGTGTTGGTCCTTCTCCCACTGAAGTTGATGGCAAAACTCCTGTGAAGTTCAGCAAAACGGGATGGAATCTATACAGAAAGTATTTTTCCCAGAACAACTTTGCAATAACCAGTGGATTTGCAAACTCCTCACTCTGACACATTGAAACAATTTGGGACTTTCATTCCATTTTGCTTTAATTGGACTTACGCTGCATCTGAGTCTTCCTAAGTGAGTTGCTCTGCCTAAAATATGTGCAGGCATGTTTGCATTCTCCAAGGGAACGTGGAGGTTAAACTAGAAGGCGAGGTTATGTTAGCAAGGATATTTTCCTTTTATTCTGCTTCCAAAGGCAACCCTGTTCTGGGCTCACCACTCTGGCTTGACCGCTCTGTGCCTCTCCATACCAAATCATGCTGGGATTTGATGATAAAGCACATCCTCTTTCCAGGAGCCAAGCCAACCCCTACATCCTAACTCACTGGTGTTCTGGTACCTTAGGCACTTTGTGGTCGCAAGGCAGACTGCAAATGCGAGTATGAGCCGTGGTGATGTTGGAATGTCCAAACTCTTTGTAGGAAGTTTCTTACAGAGCCGCTGTTGCACATTTGATTGCCAGTTCCTTTGTTTTTATGTTTCTCCAATGGTGCCAGCTGAGACAGCTCTGAGCTGGATCCCAGGGCTTGATTTGGTTCACGTCTTCCATAAAAGTTTTCCATCTCTGACCAAGGAATTTCAGATCAGGGTAAAAATATGAGTAAATCAGAGCTGGCATCTATCCCAGACATATCAATTCCTTTAAATTCCCTTTTTCCTGTGGCTTTGGGACAATCAAAATAGGGAATGTTTCCATTGCTATACCTTTATGAAAGTACAAGATGTGAATGCTATATCCTGAGTGCATCTAGTGTGTTTCCTTACCTTGGTTGTTACCAACTGCACAGCTTTCTCTGGCAATTATGTGAAACAGAGCACTGCAATAGAGTAAATCTTTTGACAGGGCTTGGCTCCAGGGAAGATCAAACCCTCCAACGTGACAGCTAATGAAACAAGGAAAAAGAAGAGGAAAACTATCAGTCCCAGCCAGCCAACACTAACAGAGTCCTAAGGCAGCTGGAGGTGCCAAGGTATCTGCTTGCAAGACTGGGAGAGAGCTGTGGGGGTCGGACTGGGGGCCGCACCAAGAACTGGTTTCCCTCTGCATTGGGTGACCAGGGAGCAGTGGAGACAAGTCATCCTCTCCAAGGCTTGTTATGACTGCTCTGTGCTAAAGGACGTTGAATGCATACTGTCTTTTTTAAGATACAGAACAAGCTGGCATTATTCTGCATCTCTTAGGAAGTGCTACTTTGCCCTGCGACTAACCTGGGTGGAGTACCTGGGATGGATCCGGGGGTACAAACTAAATGCACAGTAATTGCAAGGACAGGAGAGTGTGAAGTGAGTGATGTGGAGCACCTGATTCCCAAGAAACACAGTCGGTGTCCTTCAGTGGGCATCATCAAGGAGTTAATGTGGCAGTCTGCTGCAATGCAAGCCACAAAGCAGAGCAGGGAGAAGAGCCTCCAGTAAGGAGCCCATTTCTCTCTAAAGCACCATTTCCCAGAGTGTGATGCATGGCCCTTTGGTGATCTATAAAACATTCAGTGGTGGCTCATGGAACAATAGTAAACCCTCTCTCCTCCCCTCCAATGGCCACAGAAGCAAGCACACAATTTAAATGGGAGAAAAGAAAAGCTACTATAGATTAACTTTCAAATTTTAGTCTTTTGTTTATTTGAATTAATATATGAAAAATATACAAGTTGGTCTTTGGATTTTTATTTTATTTTTTTTCTGAAAAAGGTTAATCCTTGGACTTGAGAAGATTAAGAAATGTGGCTCTGAGGGTGCTATTTTGGAGCCAATTACAACAGCATCGAAATGTTGAAAGATTCCTTTTGTTTGTTGAAAGATTAGGCTGAAGCCCTTCAGTCTATAAAAGAATAATAAACTGTAGTGGGATAAAATACTTCAGTGCAATGAAGATATAAAAGCCACCTCCGAGTGGTATGTGGCCAGGATGGAGGTATGATGCTGGCAATGAGAATTTCTGGAGTTATCTATGCCCAGAGAAGAAAGGCTGTGAGCCCTTGCTTTATTCGAGTTATATAACGTCACCCTCCACTTCCTGCTATAATCTAGAGCTGTGTAGGGTGTGTGAGAAGCACTGCCATCTAATTTGGCAGCATATGTAAAACAATATGTGTGTGCAAAGCGTCCCCAGTTGCTCCTGGTTTCCTTCGATCTTGTGTAATTTACTCTGAAAGGAGTCTTGTTAGAATTGAAAGATGGGCACATTCACATCTCATGAAATCTTGGAGCGAAAATGAGCTCTGAGTGACCTTTTCTTCCGTGCCAGTATTGTCATCTGGGACGACTGTGAGGGATCAGGCAGTGTGCATCTTGCAACTGTGCACTGTGCTTTGGATTCTATTTTGCAGAGCAGAGTTTCTGGGTTACTTGTGAACTGCCTTGCGGTTTGCTAGTAGTGAGGGTTACGCAGCCATGTCCTGCCTCTGGTTTTGTGCTGTCTTGCAGGTACAGCTCACTGGGTGCATGACTGAGCTGAGGACTTTTCTTGAGGAAAGCTTTAAAGGGTTGCAGGCAGCCCGAGGCACAGAGGTTGCACAAGGAGATGGAGCTGCAGGGAAGCAAGCAGGCCCAGTCTGCTTGAAGCAATGGGCTTTCAGCAGTGGGAATGGTTTAAAGCACCTTGGGTGTGAGATAGAAGCAGGAGATGCCAGTGGTGTCCTGTGGTTAGAGACTGAGTGTCCCTACAGCACAGGGAACGAGAACCTCACAGCTGCCACCCACTTTGGGTGCTGTTCTCTGGCACCACCCAGGCAAACAGGCAGCAGTGGGGCTGTGCCCCACATCCCCACCCAGCCTGCTGCTTCTGGAGGTTCTGCTCAGCTCTTCCCCCTGCACCGAGCCCTGATTGCATCTCCCAGCCCCTTCTCATGGGGTATCTTCACACTGGGCTCTGAGCAGAGCCTGATGGAAATCACATGGCGCCTTTCCCCATTGTCTTTGCCAAGTTTCAGTGTGATTAATCACACCATTCCTGCCTAAATGTCCCCTTGTTCACCACGGTTTTAATTCCTTTCGTTTCTTTCCTGGCCGGTGTGTTATGTTGAGCAGCACTGTTCTCATCTGTTGTAAGCTCTGCTCTACCCCAGAAAGTGCCCCCTCTCTATAGCAATTGAGGGGATTCCCCTGTGTCTCTTATTTTTTCCCAGGGCCATGATGAGGATTAATAAGCAAACTTCTGCAAAGCACTTTGTGACTCTCTGACTAAAGGGTTTACACAAGGGTGAAATGTTGCCCTTAATACACCTTGTGCAATGGACCAGAAGGTCAGGCTACATCTCTGAGCACCTTTCGGGCTGCAATTCGGGTTTGGCATGTCACAAGCACAAAAGAGGAAGCTGTTCTCATTCCTGACCCAAGCCCGAATGTCCTTGGATGGAAAGCTGAGCCTGTGGCACATTCAGTTGTAGCAAACTTGTCTCACGTGGAATGCAGGGTAGAAAGAAATCTGCCCACCCTCAGTGCCTTGAGTTGGACAGCAGAGCAGAGCTGGGCCTCTGGGAGTGGCTGAGGAAAGAAAAGAACTCTAAAAGACTGATTTCTACCCCGTGCATCAATTCCAGCAGAAACAAAAAAAGAGCCTAACCAGAAAGATCCCTGAAGCAGACAAACCTCATAGGTCTCATAGGCATTACGCTCCAGCTCACACGATGCTGTGCCTTCCGTTGGGTTTAGGTGAGTGTGACCCAGGCAGCTCTTGGCAGACTCTGAGTCCTGTCTGGAGGAGCTTAGAACAGGAGTGAGAGTGGTACAGCAA